CCCCGACGACTCTGTTTGCTGGTGGCGCGAGTGCGTCAAATCGCTGATCGATTTCGCGATGAAATTGGCCCAATTGCGCCTGGACCCTAGCATCAATCTGGTCCAGGAACTCATTCATATTAAACTGTTTCCCCGCCATTGTCGAGCCCTCAATTGGAGTTTTGAATTCCAATGCTGCCTTTTCCCCTGCTTTCTGACGACGCACAGCAGGGTCGCTGGAAACAGAGCCCCTTGATCTTGTCCAAGGCGCGACTTCTTCACTGCTTCCTTTCGTTTTGGCCACTGAGTTTGAACCAAGGCTCTGATGCCACTTGATACGAGCACAGTTATGCTCGTTAGGAATCAATACGCGCAACTCGACTCTCCTCTAATGAAACTTGAATTTCAGCAACTTAAAACGAAAATAAAACGGACCAAAAGTGCAACTTCGCACTTGGGAAGAGGCTCGATTGGTGTAAGTCAAAGCTCGGCCACGATTGAGGTGGTTTCAATCGATACGAAGCAAACTTGCTGCTGGAACGCAACCAACACACAAGAATTTGGTGACAAAGTCACAACTTTTCATTCAATCAAAAACTCCCTTTTACACGAGGTTGTCAAGGCTTTAAATAGACAAAGAACAACCTAATTTGAACTCTAAACAAACAAGGAAAACAAATCAGAATTATAACTCAACAAGGAAACCAAAATCCTTTCTTAAAATGCACACAAAACACACACGCCTCCTGCCTTCCTGCGCAAGTAGTCCATACAGCTTCCATAGCGACTTTGGAGCTCTCGATCATGGGCTTCCAAGAAGGTTTGACGAGAACAGCCTTCAGTCGTTTGTTCCCTGGGTCTCGTACTGCAATTCCCAACTCGCCTCGTCCCTCGACAATGCCCCATCGGAATTGAATAAGCCTACAAAGTCGGGTCCTTGAACTGGTTCCAGACTTAGCCAAAAAGATGAGGCAGTCGACAGTGTGCTGCTAGCAACTTGAGGCCTCTTGATCAACCCTCTTTGGCTCTTAATCCGTGCAACCAAGCCTTCAACGTAGTCTATAAGCACTTGATCTCTCATTACCAACCTTCCTCGAGCAATTCCATCAACCGAGAGGTAAGATACGAACCTGCAAAGCAAGCACCATGACACAAGTTGAACACTTAACCAAATACGACCCTTCTTCCTTCCAACGTTGGTGGATTGTTTGGATATCAATTCGAGCTTGGACACAAGGCTAGATGGAATCACATCATTGCATCTCTTAGAAGGTTCCACAGAGTGGTTTTTACATGTTCTCTGCTGTTTCTGCTAAGTATAATGTGAGGGTTGGAGGTAGTGCTTAAAATTTGGGCAGGTGTTTGAAAATGTGCAGAGGTGGTGGTTCTCTTAAGAAATGAAAAAAAAATGAAAGAAAAACAAAGAAAAAAATGAAAGCAAAAGAGAGCCACCACCAAAAATCTGAATAGTGCCCATTAAGTAGTGTTTTTTAGCAGTTTGGCTTAGAAATACTAACATTTATGTGACCTCCTTCGCTCTTGTGCTCTAGATAATGTGAGTAATGCAGAATAGCAGAAAGAAAGTACTGGTTTGATTGACTGTGAGTTTGTTGGGTTTGGAATTGTGGAACCTTGTGCTATGAATACTTCCACTACCTAAAAGGCCTTTTCCCCATGTCCAAGACCCTAGCCAGTCATCTGAACCTGTGTCTAAGACCTCCGGATTAGTTAGTGATGACAACCATTTATGTGAACTCTAACATTGAGAGGCTGCTGTCATGGTGAAGAGATGTTAGGAATTGAGAGAATAAGTATGCGCATTTTTCGCATCAAATTGTCCTGACCCCACTGGTCGAGAGTGAGCGATTCATTTCCTTGTTCTTTACACTCTTTACCCCGGTGAGGACCTAGATGGCTCGGTCTTGATTCTGATGTCTTGAGTTTTATGCATGAGTTAACTGTCTTGAAGAAGTGGTTGAGTCAAGTCTATGTTGATTGATGAACAGAAGGGAGACTCCTCCTTTACTCGATTTTGCTGCACTCGAATGTCCTCTGTGGTGGTTGTTCAGGTTGCAGTTGAAGTTGTTCATGTGTTGATGTTTAAAAGGCGGTGTGATTCCCATGTTTTGTGCCTATATGATTTGTCCCCAATGTTGGTATGATTGAAATTGTGAGCTTACCTTGTGTCTGACTTGGTTTGCTTGGGGACAAGCAAATGGTTAAGTGTGGGGGAGTTTGATAACATCGGATTTGCACATGTTTGCACCCTCGTTTCTTGATCATTTTAGCTCGAATTTGTTGTTCCTTGGCCTATTTTAAGCTAGGTTGTGTTGTTCTGGCGTGTTTCAGGTCCTAGCAAGTAAAGAGGTGCATAGGTGCAAGTTTTGGGTCATTTGGAGGTCGGATTAAGTTTAAAGGGAAAATTACGGGTAGCCCCTGCACAATTACGGTCGTAATTGCCCCTGGCATGCCCGTAATTTCAATGCCGAGCCTAATTTCCAGAATTCCTGTCGCAGAGTCAATTACGGGCAAGAGTCACCACAATTACGGTCGTAATTAAGTAATTACTGGCGGTAATTGGAAAATTACGACCGTGAATACCTTCTTCCGAGTCAAGCGAAACGCGCGTTTTGGGCACTTACGGGCAGACCACAATTACGGTCGTAATTCTGCCCGTAATTCACCCAGAATCGGGTTTTTGAGGCAGATTCGAGCAAAAACAGAGGGAATCGGATTTTCAAAGCAAAAACTGAGTTTTAGAGAGAGAAAGTGCGAAGAACAAACCCTAGGAGCTATTTGGAGTGGATTTCTCACCATTGAAGCCCAGATTGCGTCCCCATGAGTGAAGATTGACATCCCAGAGCAGATTTTCCTCATCTTTATGAGTATGACTACTCTTATTACTGTTTTCCTCTCTCTCTCTCTATGGAGTAGAACCCTTCTCTCACTTGGGTATGAAGAACCCTAGTTCCATGTGTTAGGGATTTGATTGTAATGACTTGGGATGATTATAGTGTTTGGTTTTAATCGAATGATGCATGTTTTATTGAATTGATTGAAGTCTGATCAGCTTTTCTTGATTTCTGCTGCAACCAGAGATAGATAGAATCTGATTAGGTTGTTAGAGCTTCATCATTCGGTAGTAGGAGATTGGCTATACGAGAGTTAGCCAATTTACTGCTTTGTACTGGAATCCAATTCCAGTAGTGGAGTTCTATGCTTATTGCTTCAGCTTTCTATCCCGGTGAAGACTAGTCGTCTGCCGGATAGTTAGACTGAGAGGGCTTGGTCAGCTTAAGAGATTCCAAGCTACTGTCGGATCTTCCGCAGTCTAATCAACAGTAAATCAACCCAGGGTAATTACAATTGTAACCTAACTAAGGAGCTAGGGGGACTCATTCCCGAGTGACTCTTCTTTGCTTGAGAAAACCGTACCAATTCATGCTTCCTTACTGCTTTTGCTTAAAACAACAACCACTTGACTTAGTTGGCTAGATAATAGATAATCACGGAGTAAGCAGTAGATCTAGACCCCGGGTTGATAATAAAACTTGCCACTTTACTGCATTCCTGGACTGCGATTACACGTGGTCGCAGTTTGGTGTTGTGTTTTGGCGTGTCAGTAACACATCCAAAGCTTCTGAGATAATAGTCAATGGCTTCTATATGAGCGGTTGACTATTAATTACCTCATAATAATATGAACTAGTTAAGTGACCCGTGCTTTGCGGCTGAACAACTTTTATAACAATATATCTTATTAGTTTTCATCAAACTAAATAAAACATGAATTCTTTTACTAATTAGCCTCTAGCTAATTTAAGAAGGAGATACAAACTTTCCTCACATTTGAAATAAGACCATGCTGAATTTATTCATCAATTTTAAACACTCTAATCTCAAAATGAATAAACCTAAAGAAATAATTAGAAAGTAGGGCCAGCTTTGTGATCCATGCATGTGAGCTTTTCTAGTTTGGCCTTGAAGTTGAATTTTCTTGTAACGTTTGGCCTTGATGTTTTTGAATAAAATCTCTCACTCTTATATATACAAAAAGGAAGTGGGACAACAAAAAGTAAGATACAATAATAAACACATTATCATCTTTGGTGGGTTAGAAGTTGTATAAATTCATCACATACTGAACTTAAACCATACTTCAACATTAATCAAGATTTAAGTACACTGTCTTTGCTCATAAAAACTATGATACGAAATCAAGAACCAATTTTTTTTTGAATAACTTGAGTTGCCTATATAATTAGACACCTGAAATCAAATTTCTTAGAAGACGGATTGAAGTTAATATAAATATTTCAAACACTGAACCAAAAAGACACATAGTTAAGTAGTGTTCAAAATATATTGGATCGATTAGTATGAAATTCGTTAGACAAGATGATTGGAACAATATGCTATATAATATAGGATTTAACAGTTATCAAATCTTACTGTTTTGTGTCCCGTCATCTCAATAGGGCTGCCCATCATGTGGCACAAAAGGCCCTCTCATCGAGAGTTCGACTATTGGTCGACTCTCGCGCTTTTCTTTCTTCTTCTTTATGACTTTTCTTTTCAACACTGACTTTGCGGGGGGAAAAAATGATTCATACATTATTTAAACATTAATTTCTAGCTGTTAATCTCATGAAGCCATATCTCACTTATCCTCCTCTTTAATAATCTCCATTATATTGCCTTATGACGTTGTTATGCATAAGTAGCCATTTGAGAATTTTCGAACCCTTTCTAATTTTGAATGAACTCATCCTTCTATTCTATGTGAATAAGATGAATACGGTGGTTGTACAATTAGTCAACACAACCCATAAGTAATCAGACTAATATCCACGTGTTGTACCATTTGTCAACACTCACACTATGTCAATAACTCAATATAATGAAGTAATTATTAGACTGATATTGTATTAATTTTGTAATATTAGCAATTAGTAGTTTGTTAACCCTTATGTAAACCCTAAAATCTCACTATATATGGCTTCAAAACTAGCTAGTGCCACGTAACCAGGTTTGAAAAGGAAGAGTCACAAATTTCCATTAATGAAGTAACAAATATGAGAGCTAGCTAATCATTCGTTTAATAAAGAAAAGGTGAATGGGGAGAGTTGGCTTCCACCACCAACATTCTACTTCTGTAGTCTTTAGTTCATGCAGCAAATTAAATGCCCTGCAGGCGGTAAGAATTCCTCCCATAATATAATAGAGTCGCCTGGTTCTGCACCGTATTATGATTGACATGTGACGATGACCACATATCTGGGCTGCGGCCTGCGCTCCTAAGCAAAACTGTTTGGACCGATGCAAAACGTGATTCCAAGACCCACTATCGATCAGAAGTTGCAACGGGCCAAGTGCAGTTGAAGGAGGCTGTTGCAAAATTTCCCCTATTTGCCATGCATGCACGCATCATCTTACCCAACAAAATGCAAGGATCGACTGGCCTTTACGTGATGCCCAAGACCCACCGGGTCGGAAGTTGCAATCGGCCAATTGCTGTTGAAGGTGGCTGTTACAAATATTTCTCTATTCGCCATGCATGGCATCATCTGTACTACAATGGATGATAATGATGAGACATGCAGATCGTCTAATATGCCTACACTCTTTCTTCTTCTTTTTTTTCACTGCTCCTCCTCCGTCCCTATAAATAGGCCGCATGCTACTCTCTCTAGTCTTTGCCCCTTCTTTTCTCCTTCTCCCCTCCTTGCTCAACTCTCTTTGCTTACAAAAAACACAAAATGTCCACGCCCGACACCCACAGAGAAGGTTCCCACTCGAATGATCGCTCCGACGGAGTCGCGATGGCGGTCGTGATGGGAATCTTGGTGGTGGTAGTAGGATCCGTGGCCTTCGGGCTCTGGCTGCGCACCTGGTGGAACAAGCCACGCGCCCTGCCCCGCCGCGTCCGCGACACGCTCCCTCTGGGACGGTTCTCGGGAGAGCAGCAGGCGGGACTGTCGTCGTCCGACTGTCCCGTCTGCCTCGAGAACTTCACAGAGGGAGAGGAGTTCCGACTCCTGCCCCAGTGCGGCCACGCCTTCCACCGAGCCTGCGTGGACCGGTGGTTCGACACCCACCCCACCTGCCCCGTCTGCCGGCAGCAGGTCGTCGCCCACGTCCCGGCCGCACCCGCACCCGCCCCTGCTCCTGTCGCCGCCGCACCAGCACCCACACTCGCACCCGCCCCTGCCCCCGCCGCACCGGCACCCGCCCCTGCTCCTGTCGCCGCCGCACCAGCACCCGCTCCTGCCCCCGTCGCCGAGGAAGTTGAGATGGCGGCGAGAGGGAACGACGGGGAGGAGGAGTAGTTGCCCCCTAGGTTTTTTTTTTTTTTTTGGTCGTATTGTAATAAACCATGTAATGTATATGTGTAGAAATTCATATTTCAAATGTATTCTCTCTACTGTACGTTGTATTTTTACTTCATTTAATTAATTAATCGAAGAAGAGAATAAATCAGAAAGCTTGGCCTGTTTACGTTGAAATTTAATTGGGCTTCCTCTTAGTAATATTTGTGTCTTGTATGGGCTGACAATGTTACATGAGAAAACATGGGCCAACATCTCGCGTGTCACATAAGCCCAAACTTTGCACGAATCGTAAAAGATTGGACGAAAAATATTTATTAATAAATTCTTTTGCTGCCCCGTTTCAGAACAAGTAGACACGTGCAATAAACACTAAAACACCTATGGAGTATGGACCACTACGGGCATTTTATCGAACACCATCAGGGCATTGCGTCAGATCCATTCACGGGAATGGGATGACGACGCTCTTCTCCGTATCACAGCTGCTTCGAAGATAGAACGCTCCCGGCTTCTCTTTCCCAGTTCTTACACTATCCGGCCGCCGATCTCTCTGTCGGCGAATTAAGAACGGAAAATTGGGAAGATAATATAACGATTTGGGGATTCTTAAAATTCAAAAAAAAAAAAAAATGGTGCAAATTTGAAGATGGAACATTAAGATAGATACATATCCTGCATTGGTTACAAAAAGATCACCCATATATGTAAAATCTTTCATTTATCTGATCACGGGAGCCTAAAATGCTACTCAAAAATAGTAACATGGAAGCAGAGTAGCAGTACAAATATCCCCGCCGACGAGAAAACAGAGACATGACGATGAGAAGCGGCTTCGGAGGTGGCGTAGAAATAGTAGTAAGGATAAGGGTAATTGTTATTATTAGGGTGCTGCCCCTGCCCTTGTCCTGACGACCCTTGATTCGAACTCGACGGCGGCGGCGGCGGAGGATTATTCCCCCATACCGGATACGATGTCGGCGGCGGCGGCGACGACTTTTTCGGCGACGGTGGCGGAGAGTGGTAGTAGGATGGTGGTGGAGGAGGCGACTCATCCTCGTACACCGGGGGAGGAAGCGTCTTCGGCGGGGAGCGAGGTGACGGCGGCGGTGGAGGCTGTGAGTGCTGGAAGGATGATGGCGGAGGAGAATTAGGAAGCGACTGAGAAGGCGGCGGCGAACAGATGACGGGACAAGTGGCACAGTCGCTGATGCAGAGCAACCCAGCTGGAACGAGCTCCGACGAGCTTGTAGTTACAACTACGCCACCATTAATCATCATCAGAAGGATCATGATAGCTGCTAATCCCATCGTCTTCCTTAGGCGGGCAGAAATGGCGATCATCATATCCATTGTGGCCGAAGCTGCAGTCAGTTTGCTTGACGGGTTAGTGGTGGATTTATAGAGATCTATATTATACGTAGCCAAAAGGCCTTTTTGCCAATGTGTTTTACAAGACAAAGGAAAGAAGATGTGCGTTTCTTGCCCCTATGGTATTGGTGCATAGTTAATTGTTGTATTGCTTTCCATTGAAGAGGCCAATCATCCATAAAAGAATGGAGCTTTCAAAATTCAAACCCCACTACTGCATGTCCTTTCCCCTCGAAGGAGATGATCAATCCACTGATCCAGAAATTTGGGGCTCGAGGGCAAATAAACAAAGGTTGAAGACACTAGCTAGCTTAGCTTGGTCCTTAAAATTGGGACTGGTGTTAGGAAACATTCTTTCCTTCATTTGGTGGGTGATCATATCCATATGTTTATTCCTTTCTTTTCTGACAAGTCCTCCTGAATCTTCTCATTTTCCTGAGGGCTTACTTGAGCAAGAAGATTCCTGACTTTATTTCCCACTCTTCAGAACAGAAACAACTCTGCAGAGGGATCACCCCTGTTCTTATTTTGGTGGTAATGATCACCCTATGTTACACAACTTGATACTTTGTAGAACTTACAGATATTACAACTCGTAGCAACTTACATACAGAATCACAAACACAGTATTATCAGTTTCTACACCCGTTTCTGGACGGTAACCAGGTCGAGTGCAGACCCATAAGCCCTCAGTAACGCCTCGCCACACCAGCCATGCCCATCGTCCACCGTCGGCATCCTGACTTCCATGAACGGAGTGACTGGATGCTCATTACCAGGCATCATCACCCAAGCAAACACTCGCAACACATTTCCAGCATCGATATCCATGCACACGATTATCTCTGGAACTCCTTTAGCTGCTGAGGGGATCCCGCCGATCTTGAAAAAGCCCAAAAGTTGATTCTCTTCCACGGTCTTACCGCCACCTTCATAGACAACAACCAGCGCTTCGGTTTGGTTATCGTGAGAAGTTGTGAACACTTGTTCCTTCCTTGCAGGCATGGTAGTGTTTTTCGGTATGATTGGGGAGAAAGTGTTCCCATCAGCTCTTATTCCCAAGGCAAGTGGGGTGGCTTGGATAGTTAACAGATCCAGACTTCCAAATGGATCGCTGATTCCTGAAGCAACTGCACCTTCTAGTGCTGCTCCACTCACCGCAGCCTCCAACTGATTCATTTCACTGTAGAGTTCCTCCCTTTTGCAAATTGCCTTAACAAGGTTCTGTATCTTTGGGATGTATGAACAGCCACCAACAAGTATAACGTCGCTCAAATCCTCAACATTCACCTTTGAGTCGTGCAAGCATTCTGTTATGAGGCTCTCACACTTTTCAAACACTTGTTTGTTGACTTCCTCAAATTCCTTCCTATCAAGAACCTTACAGATATTGTTCTCATTTCCCAAGTCAACATCCACCTGAACGCTGGTCTGAGAGCAAAGCTTGCGAATTGCGTCCTCGGTTGCAATCCGCAGCACTGCCATCGACTTGATATCATTGGTGGAATGGTTTGAGAAAAGCCTGTCAAGATCAGGGAAAAGATACCTCATCAAGTTCTGCAGCATGTCTTCTCCGCCAATAGCAGCTCCTGTTATTGCTTTGATCTGAGAAACTCCACCAGCAGTAGCAGTGACAGCCACATCACAGTAACCAGCACCGAGATTGAAAATCAGGGCATTCTTCTCACTCCCACTGCCCATATTCTCATGAACAATCTGTTGCTGCTGTTGTGCATACAGCAATGCAACAGCTGTTGGCTCAGGCATCAGTCTCAGAACATGAAGCCCTGCCATAGCACAAGCTCTCTCGATACGTGTCAACTGGAACCGACTAAAGGAAGCTGGAACCGTGAGAACAACATTTCTGATAGGCCTCTTCAATTGTAACTCTGCCATGGCTCTCAGCTCCACCAGAAATATAGCCAGGACTTCTTCAGGAGTTGTCGACCTCCAAGCATTGTTCACCAAGGCTGCAATGAGAGGACGAACACCAATTCCCAAAGTCTGGACTAGAAAAGGAAGAGACTTGCTCGCTGAAACTACAGGGTCGGTGTCCACTCTGCCTATGAGGCGTTTCATGTTGAAGATTGCAGCTCCAGACAATACTTCACGCTCGTGTAACAGTTGATTGCTGGTGACTCCTCCAGCAGAAGGGGTTTCATCCTTGAAGGTCACATATGATCGCATCAACTTCTGGTTCCTGGTGTTCTTGAGCACCTCAATCTGGGAACCGTTCCAAACTGCTATGCTGCATTGCGAGGTTCCAATGTCGATACCAATCGCACTCTCTGGAAAGGCAGACGATGATTTCTCCTCTCCGGTATTTTCGCTGTCGGATGCCACAGTGTATTGGAGTTCAGCCATATCTGCATTTTAGCACGGTTTATTTTCAATGAGATCAAAGCATCAGTACAAATAATATTTTTTGATAATGGTGATGAACTTATATATATATATATTTTTTTTTTTGGTAGGATGATGAACTTTATTGATGAAAGAAACCAGAGCACCCGAATCACTTCACAAGTAGTGGGAGTGAACCAGGAAGCAAGAAGGAACAAAGGTACAAAAAATGAAGTTCATGGGAAAGAAACAGAGGAAGTATTATCCGTACAAAGAATATTAAATCCACACAACACAGGAAGTATTATTATGATGTTCATTCGAAGAAGGGAATTCTCGTCGGACCATTCCAGCAAACCTCACAAGAAAGTGACCTCAACTCCGCATGTTCCTTGACAACATAAATGCAAGACTCATCGGATCATATATAATCAGTTAGGCCTTTCATCAAACACCTTACGAGCGTTAATCCGCCCCAATCCACTTAACAGACAGTAAGCAGTAAAACCTTCAACCCTTCATCCAAACTAGCACCAGAAACTACTAATCTTTAGAGAAAACAATCAGGGTAGTGAGAGAATTCACTAAACCCAACTCACGGAATGCGTTTGGTCGTTCAATAACACCCATCAAACGATCTTACATGATAACAGACCAACAGTCACCACTCACCAGCGCAGAAACTTCAGCAGGGAAAGAAACAAAGAGAAACACACGCCCTCCAAACCCTCTAAATTCCTAACATGATATCAATTGGATAGGCGCTTGCAAGTGCGGTAGATACTGGATTCAGCAGGAGGGCAGAAACAGAGCAGGGTGGGGAAGAAAGGGAACAAAACAACACAGAAAGACAAACCGTGCAAATGTTTACATCGGTACCAATAAGGAAGGTGAGGAGATACGCGAACCTGGAAAGAGGTGGAAATGCTGAGGGAGACGAGTACTCCTTGAGCTTGCAATTGAGAGAGGGTGAGCGTTGTGGAGAAGAGTAGAAGGTGCGAGAAAATGAGTTTGAGTAGGAGAGGGAGGAAGAGAGAAGAAATACGGAAAGGTGGCGCGCTTCCACCTTTCGTCCTTTCGGTGACGGTGAGCGAGTTCTAGAGCTCCCTAGAGTAGAGTAGACTACCCCATTCCCTTGCTGTAACTGCCTAACTGGCACCTTTGACCTTTCTTTTCCGCTTTTTGTTTCTTCTACTGTAAACTTTTTTTTGTAGTTCGGGAAACAAAATGACTGTGAGGCTAAATAAATATTCTTGAAAATAGCTTGTGAGCAATTGACTGGGCCGGGTGAGCAATTGACTGGGCCGCTACTCTTGTGGATATGGGCCTTTTATCTTACTCGCCATGTGAAATCCCTAGATGAGTGAGGACGAATTTGACTATGAGAATGAGACTTTGGGCTCAAATGGAAGTTGGGAGGCAGATGAGGAGATAGAATTGGTGGCGGTACGAAGGGTTTTTTGCCGTTACCGCGTTGTTTAGATACAATTTTGGAAGAAATGGAAATGAAATTTATTTTTTTATTTTTCTAAAATTTCATTTCCAATTCTAGTGTTTGATATAATTTTTAGGGCTAATAACATAATAATAAATAGTGATGAGATCCATTAATTCTATCTCCATAAACATCGTTCCTATTACTTTTGATAGGAATTGTAATTTCCAAAACATAGGCCAAATGAAATTCATTTATGAACCATTTTATCATTCCAACCATAAAATATGGAATTGGAAACGAAATTCCAATACGTGAGTTTTTTGTCTATCCAAACAAGTTGTCAGGGATAGGCGTTTAATGGAGATTCATAATGGGTGCTGAAGCTAGGGATGGCAAAGGGTCGGGTTGGGTCGAGTTTTGCCAAACTCAAACCTATGGGTTTATCCGTGACAAAAACTCGGGATAAAACCTACTGGGTTTGAAAAACTCAAACCAAACCCAACCCGTTGGGTATTCGCGGGTTCATGGGTACCCATGGTTTTTGTCATAAAAAATTTACAATTACAAGTTCCTGTCAAAATGAAAGTCAAATATCAATCTCCCAATACTAATTATCCATATATAAAACACCATTCTAGAAAATTCAAGCAAATCACAAATTAAACAAACAAATTGTTCGACACCAATTTACAAAACTCAAGAAAATTGAAGCAATTCACAAATTATCTATAAACAACATGATTAATTGAAAACTTCTTCCTCCTTGTCAATTAAACTTCTTCACTCTCCACTCCATAATATCAACTTCATTCTATACAATTAGAAAGGAAAAATTAGACATGTCTCCACAAATATAAAGAAGATTAGTTGTTTAGAATATTAAATATACAGTGAAAATTAATTATATGAGTGTGGGCGGGTACCCATGGGGCGGGTTTACCTAAACTCAAACTCAACCCAACCTGGTGAATAGTAAAGGGATTTAAACCCAAACCCGTCCCAAAACCCTTCAACATGGGTTTTACCCGCGTTGACCGGATTGTGTCTGGTAGATTACCCGTGGGTTCGGATTTTGTTGCCATCCCTAGCTGAAGCGGTGCCAGTGGGTGGAGGTAAGACAGTAAATTTTATTATGATTTCCTGATTTTAATCAAAATCAAACTAATAAAAAGTTTGGATGGTTTTGATCTTTGGTTTTAAACTATTAATATTTTAATCGCTTGGATTTTGTTATTGAAAAATAAGAAATTGATAACATTCGAACTAAGTCAATTGTGTTGTCAGCAACTTATTTATAATAGACTTCTTTTATATTTCATCCTTTTTTTGTCATCTTATCGGACTCTATTTTGGGTTTTCCAAATTATGGATTTGGTTTTTTTAATTTTTTTTATTTTTCCTAATCAAACCTAAACCATTAAGAACCTTATCAATTATTGGTTAACTTGAATATCAACTATACCTTTAAATATTTTGATTTTATTTTTTGAAAATTGATCTGATTTGATTTTTTATTTTTCATACTTAATGGTTTGGTTAACTAAACCAAACAGCCCTAGGTAGAAGCTGGAGGCAAAGTTGCAACTTGGAAGTTAGGGGAAACTCGAAGAAAGCCAAGAACGAAGAGAGCAACAGGTCAAGTGGGCTTCTGTTCCAAAATTGATATGTAGTTCATTGTTTTCAATGTTATAAGAATAAACCTGATCAATGGTTGAGACAATAGAACCAAAAAACGAGTTAGAATGTGATCTAATTTATTTTTTAGAAGAGTAGGAATTAATCGATCGGTTTCAACGTTTTGACATTAAACCAGGTGAACCATTCTGATTTGACTGATCAATTTGTTCACTATTTTTACAATAAAAAATTTAAGGAAAATAATATTTTAACGCAAACTAAGCCATCCATCATGAATTACAAATCTCCTAATTACTACCTTGAATTTTATAAAAAAAATATGATTTCTTTTGTGGGATAACTTGAATGATTTGTTAGAATTTGATGGATGATATCAGATTGAAATGGTTTACAGTTAAGGATAAGTTTAGTTCTAGATTAGTATATTATTTATTATTTATTATACTATAGCGCATGCACGGTTCTATAACGATTAACCCGATGAATCATAAACCACTAACTTTTTTTATATTATCCGGTTATGTAAATATAGTATTTTCTAAATATAAAAATCATCATAATATCTTTAGTTGAAATGTAATAGATTTTTAGAATCATTTGAAATAAAATTATTTATTACCTCTTCAATTTTCGTATTCTCTGCAAGATCATTGACAAATAGAGCTTTAATAGTTAATATGCATGCTTTGTGCATATATATGATTCGAGCTAGCATATGCTAATGAGTTTTGTTGTTTAGATAATAGATGTTAGAGTAGTCAAAGAGTAAAGGAAATACCACATTGGTGGGAGAAGGAAAGTGCAAGTTGTTTTTATGTTTGCTTTCCACTTTACTTATTGGAGAAAGTGGTTAGTGGGCTTTTGGAAAAAGTGTGGGCTATTTAATTTGACATATTAAATCGCACTTAGCACTTAGCGCGACGCGTTCGGATTTGAATTTTTGGCTAATTAATTACCGGAATTATTTTAATTAATTAATCCGGATAATTATTTGATTTTGAATTTTGTGAAACGACGTAACCCTTCGGAAGGGAACTGCCGTTTTCACTATAAAAGTCTTCTGCAGCCGAATTTCTGTTCCAACGTTCATCTTCTTCTCCTTGTTTTTCCTTCTCCAAAAACACAAACACAGAAGTCACGAAAGGTGCTGCTTTCTGACTTTGATTGGAGGGACTCCTGGGGGTGGTTTGCCTAAATCCTACCAGCAACGAAGTAGTGGAGGCAAATAAACACTCTAAGGAGAGTGATCAAATCACGCCTTCAATCGTTCTCTTCCATATTGTTTCCCTGACAATAGATAGTGAGTGAATTCTAGATCCTAATTCCAAAACTCAAACTCAAAGTCATAGGATTAATTTAATAAAGAATAATACTTTTCTATTTTGATTCGTCGAGAAGTACATGAAGCACATCTAATTGGTACAAAAGTATATTTATATCATTATATGCATCATGCGTGCACATGTCTTTATCATGTATTGTAAATATATACATATGAAAATATTGATCAAGTACTAGGATTTCGAATTAACTAAGGGTTAATTGCACGTATTGCCACTTAAATTTATCATTTGTTGCACAATGACCACCTAAGTATGTTTGGTTGCAACTAAACCATTTACAAACACTTTCTGTTACACTGTCACCATTTCCGCCTCTCAAACTAATGATAGGTGTCTAAATGTAATTATCCATGCCACGCGGACTGCCACATCTGTTGAGCCACAAAGCAGCAACTAGCTTCACATAAGAGGGCGAGTCCATACTGATACAACTGGTAAGGGTTCCCAATTAAGTATCAAGTTTTTCAGCGAAAGGTCACACTTCTCTATCACCCGTCTTCGAATTACCTTAGCAACCAACCAAACACATCAATTGAAAAACAAACCCAACCATTAAAGGAAAACTTACAGCAGAACCCTTGAGAACATAATTCAGTTCATCATTCCTTTATAGACAGACATATTCTTTTGATGTCCAAATATTACAGGGATTTGCTAAAAAAACAGTGAGTACTGCACTACTGTTGTCTTTATACCGTTTAGCAACGGTGCAACCGAAAGTTGATATAAATGATTTAGTAGCAACAAAACTTATTTAGGTGGTCATCGTTGGTAAATTTAAGTGGTAACCTTCGCCATTAACCCAATCAACTAACGTATCAAATTACGTCATTATATTACTAACCGATTAATCATATATCATAAATTCAGCATATGTTGCATGATTAGATTAACTATCGTATTTAGAATGGACTATGGAGACTTCATTATTCAAAAGTCATATTCTGAAAGACGTCCCCAACATACCCTGTTGGCCGCGCCCTAAGCAGCGTCGGTGAAGCGGCACTTATTATTTATTTTCAAAATACAAAATAATGTCAACATTTGGTAATATGGAGGATAGAGCCCTCGATTTTTTTTTTACTTGACTCGGAGTCTTGGATCCAAATGACAGCCAGCAAGTTGTCTTCTTTTCTTATACGAAGTCATTTTCACCGGACAAAGATTCTAGCCAAGCAATGACGACTGAGCTTTAGTAAACGGAAGAACCCTAAACCAATAATGACAGAAACAAATTAATTAATCAGGCAGGCCGGCAGGCAGATACTTCAGCTGGTCGTCAAAACTAACTCTATTTTACCCATTACACTAGTAGCTAGTAGCTACAGAGTGCTCTGTTTCAGGGGAAGATTGCAAGGTAATCCATTCATCATGTCGAAACTCCCTACCTTCCTCTTCTTCTTCCTCCTCACCATCTCCATTTCCCTCTCATCTCACCCACTCGACCCACTAACGCCGGCCGAATTCACCGCCGTCCAGACCGCCGTTCGCGCACACTACTCCTCCAGCCACACCTCCATCGCCTTCCACTACATCGGCCTCAAGGATCCACCCAAATCCGCTTTCCTCACCTATCTCCACCACCACCCCTCCGCCGTTCCTCCGCCGCGTCAAGCCTTCATCATCGCCCGGGTCAACCACTCAACCACCCACGAAATCACCGTCGACCTGACCAATCCCAACAACACAATCTCCGACCAAATCTACACGGGACCCGGCTACCCGATTTTCACCACCAAGGAGCAGCTCGCCGCCAACGCGCTCGCCGTCGGCCACCCGCCGTTTCTCGAATCCGTACGGAAGAGGGGGCTAAAATTGGGGGAAATCGTGTGCCAGTCGTATGGGATCGGGTGGTTCGGGGAGCAGGGGAAAGGGAGTAGGATCGTTAGGGTTATGTGCAATTATTTGGACGGGACGGTGAGTCTGTACATGCGGCCGGTGGAGGGAATCACCGTCACCGTGGATCTGGACCGGATGGAGATTATTGGGTATCGGGATCGGGCGATTGTGCCGGTTCCCAAGGCGGATGGGACTGACTTCAGAGGGTCGCAGCAGCGGCCTCCTTTTGGGCCGAGCGTTAATGACATCGACATCGTCCAGCCCAACGGCCCAAGTTTTCAAATCGACGGGCATAGGATCCGGTAAGGTTTATTTACTGCGGTTGTTAATATTTTATTATTTTCCCCCCTTCTGTAGTTGTTGGTCGTTGTTCTAGTTAATGCCGCGCACCTCGTTACCATTGCATTAAAGTGCGACAATGGATACTAGTCAGTCAGTCAGTCAACCAACAATCTCCCACATATCCAAATCGTATAGCTCCCATTCGGTTAAAATACTGATATCATTATTTATCAGAATCGAATGGATTATTGGAAGAGTAAAAACCATATGAAAATTGTGAAAACATATGAACCACTTCGGCTTGATTGGTCAACTCGTTCACTATTTTAACGATAAAATTATTTATGAAAAGAGCACTTTAACATAAACTAAAACCATTAAACGTCAATCACTAATTTTATTTATGCTTCCTTTTCTTAATATCCATCCTTCTTCTCAGCTTTCTTTGGTCCATTAAGGATTGACACACTGTGTTGATGTGACTTGAATCGGATTATCAGCCGCTACGACTGGTAGTCGGGTAGTCGGGGGTAGCCGTTTTCTTTGCCAGATTGGATTAGGTTTAGACCCACATGGAGAAGTACTATAAATACTTCTCATACTCCTCTATAATATGTAATCTCCTCGATATAGTGAAACTGGCTCTCTCTCGCCCGTGGACTAGCTAACACACATCGTGTTAGTGAACCACGTAAATCGTGTGTCTGTGTTTTTCTATTCTCGCTTTCGTATTCTTGCTTTATCGATTCCGGCGATTTCTCGATCTGTAGCAACGCGTTTATAACACACTGATTACTGACTTGAATTTAATAAAAATATTTATTTCTTTTGTGAGATAGTTCGAATATTTTGTTAGAACTTTTTGGTGTTGGATAATAATGAATTTGAAATTGTTTATGGTTAGAGATCATTTCACTCCCATTGTATTATATATGTACTTTATGTTATAGCGTATGGATGGTTCTATCAACGGTTATCCAAGGGTTAACAATTAATTGTGAATCATCAACATTGAATTTTTCGGTTCGGCATCCGATCCGGCTATGAAAATATAGGCTAATGTTAATCTTTGACGATTGGATGTATATAATGATGCTTTTATAAATAATACAAACCTTTGCATCCAACCATTGAAATTACAAACTGCATTATGCAATAGTATCAACTCGCACATAGAGATGGCAATGGGTCGGGTCGGGGGCGGATAGTGCATATCCGTTACCCTACTCAATGTAATTCGGGTTTTACCCATACCCGTACCCATACGAGAAATGGGTAGAAAATCAAAACCATGCCCATACCCGTTCGGATTTCGGGTATCCACGGTTATCCATGGGTAATAATTTCTCCTTATAATTCCAACCAATATGTTAACATTCACACGTATACTCACATGACGTAAGAGGAAAAGTACGACAATAATTCACTAGAATGACGAAAATTCATTAAAACAACATAATTTCATGAAAATATGATATTTATATGCTAAATATAAAATATTCTACAGAAAAATCATGGGTATTTCTAGACAAAATACATATGCATCTGTATAATCGGGCGGGTTCGGGTTGGATAGTGAGATAACCATGCCCACCCATTACCCGCAACATTCGGGTTCGGGTTTTACCCGTACCCACGAAAAATGCTTCGGGTTCTGGTTTTACCCTACCCAATTAGGTCGGATTCGGGTGGATATCCACGGTGACGGATACTTTTGCCATCCCTACTCGCACAAATGTATATACTTATCAACACGCTAGAAAAATCAAGATTCCTCTGGTATTCAAAATTGCGGTTGGAGTCAACTGGGATTTAAAATTAATGATAGAATATTTTGTACTAAAATCATAGTTTAAGTGATCCAACTATTTATGCTACTAAAATCACCTACAAATTTGGTCACTGACTTCTAAACTGAAAAAAAAAAAATAGGTGGGCCAACTGGGATTTCCATTTGGGCTTCGACATGCGGGCCGGGCCCATAATATCATTGGCATCGATCTTCGACGTCCAGAAGCAGAAGTTCCGCCGGGTTCTGTACAGAGGGTTTGTGTCGGAGCTCTTCGTTCCGTACATGGACTTAACGGAAGAATGGTACTACCGGGCCTATTTCGACGCCGGCGAGTACGGCTACGGGTCGTACGCCTCGTCGCTGCTGCCCGGCGCCGACTGCCCTGCAAATGCGGTTTTCATGGAAGCCTACTTTCCCGACGAGGACGGGAATCCCCAGCAGCTCCCCAACGCCTTCTGCATCTTCGAGAGGTACGCCGGCGACATAATGTGGCGCCACACCGAGACCGCTACTCCGGAAGTGGTGAGTTTTTTTCCTGATTGGTAATTTTGGTGGGTTTATTCGGAAATCGGAACTCCTTTTTTCTTTATAAATTTTGTGGGGTTGTTTTTCCCCTTTTGCTTGCTGAGGCAGGTGACAGAGGTGAGGCGAGATGTGAGCTTGTTAGTGAGGATGGTTTCAACTGTGGGCAACTATGACTACATCAACGATTGGGAATTCAAGCAGAGCGGCTCCATCAAAGTCACGGTACTAAAATCAAATTAATCTCGTCTTTCTTTGCTTGATCACCATGAAAATCGATTTTTATTTTGCAGGTTGGGTTAACAGGCGTGCTAGAGGTGAGAGGATCTGAGTACACACACAAGGACCAAATCCACGGCGAATCCTACGGTCCAATACTTGCCGAGAACACAATCGGGTCGAACCACGACCATTTCCTCACATACCATTTGGATCTCGACGTAGACGGGAAACGAAACTCGTTCTCAAAATCCAAATTGGAAACGGTCAGAGTCTCAAACAGCACAACCTCGCCAAGGAAGAGTTACTGGAGAGCAGTCGTCGAGACGGCCAAAACAGAGTCCGATGCAAAGATCAACCTGGCCGGTTCCGAGCAAGTCGACTTCACGTTTGTGAATCCCAACAAGAAGACCGATGTTGGGAACTCCGTTGGGTACCGTTTGGTTCCAGGGTCGGTCGTGAGTCCATTGTTATCCGAGGACGATTATGTGCAGATCAGGGGAGCTTTCACCAAGTACAACATTTGGGTCACGCCGTACAATGAGAGTGAGAAATGGGCTGGGGGTGTTTATGTTGATCAGAGTCGAGGGGATGATACTTTAGCAAAATGGAGTCTTGGGGACAGGGAGATTGAGAACAGAGACATTGTGTTGTGGTACACATTGGGTATTCATCATGTGCCTTGCCAGGAGGATTTTCCGGTCATGCCGACGTTGAGCAGTGGGTTTGAGCTCCGGCCGAATAATTTTTTCGAGAGGAATCCGGTTCTCAAGGCCTTCGTGAGTTTGTAGAAGTGAATCAAAGCTAGAATGAAGGTGTATTTGATTGTTGTCACGATTGGCAGGTATGAATATGATTCTTTTGGGAATACTAATTTCAAGGAAGTGTATTGGAGTATAATGAATTAGCAGACAGCTACTGCAGCAACCAACACCCACAGACAACATTCATATCCATCCCATACAACACAATCAGAACTTCAGATGATCCATTCCTAGTAATAGCTAGATAAGAAGGATTAATATTTCTTTTCTTCCATTCATCTCTCCTCCTTGTATAAATTCTATTACATCCATGTACATCAAAGCAGGGTGGCTGGTTCTTATTCGGTGGATGGAAGGCTGGTTAGAAGGACTCTGTTGATATGCCACACAACGAGTAACAATTCGAGAGCCTGCAAGTAAAACTAAGTTTATTGTAATTCTTGCTTGTTGTAAGATGACATTGGAGGAGAGAACTGAGAGGATAGCATCCATCTCAGGTGTTGTAAGAGCAACATGTTTCCAAACCCTGCGAACAAAGAGGTTCTCCCCTCCGGTGATCATGATGGTGCGCTGATGTTGTAAGAACATGGTAGTCTCAAGTCTGAGTCCCATCTCCTTTAGACAGACGAAAAAGGGATAAAATCAAACACTTAAAAACAGGATGCTGCAAAGCTAAGGAACATTATTGTTGCTCTCACTACAAGTAATGAGACCTTAATTTGTTTATCATGTCAGGCAACGTGACAACCACTCTTGCCCTAGAAACACTGCCACAATTATGAGTGTCAACTCTCTTTGTTTATTTCATACGAAAAAGATCAGAATGCAATCGCGTAGAAGTGCCTTATATAACTTGTATGTAAATCGATCGTTAATATTTAGAATCATATTGTTAACTCATTCAGAATTGCCTGTTATCATTTCTGCTTCTCTAGTTTAAGGATTGTTAATCAAAGGTGCAGTATACCCACTGAGCCACGGCAAAAGGTGCAAGTTTCTTTACTACTCCTCAAAGGGAATAAAGAAAGTAAGATCAGTAAGGAGATACTTCATAGTTCAAAGTTCATACTTGTCTCCTTTAAATTCCTGATTAACAGTATGACTAGTTGACAAAAGAGGAAAAAGAACAAGAAGAACCTCCATCCATGAATAATCCTCTGCTCCAAGCTCTAGCTCTAGCTTTTGCCCTGCCCTTCTTCTCATCTCTTCTTAGCCTTTCTCACCCGCTAGATCCTCTCACCCCAAACGAAATCAACCAAGTTCAACTCATCATCCAAAATTCCAATCTTGGCAGCCTCCCAAATCTCACTTTCCATTTCGTTGACATTGCAGAACCCGACAAATCCGATGTCATCAGGTGGCTCAACTCGAACTCTCAACCCAAACCCACCAAGATCAAACCTCCGGCTCGACAGGCCAAGGCCGTGGTTCGAGCCGGAGGCAAGACCTACGAGCTCGTACTCGACCTGGCCACGAACTCCATTGTCTCTAACCACGTCTACACCGGTCATGGATACCCTCCTCTGTCATTCACGGAGTTGTTCCAGGTATGGTACATTATCAAAATTCCTCGAACTTAAATATGTTACACCTCGGAGTAATTTTTTGTATGAAAACGTTATGATGTTAGGATTGTGATTTGCCAGGCGAGCAAGCTTCCACTGAAGTACTCGAAATTCATCGATTCGATCGTATCGAGGGGCCTGAACATATCAGAAGTCTCCTGCATCCCGATGACCGCAGGATGGTACGGGGAAACCGTTACCACCCGCATACTAAGAGTGAATTGCTTCTACCGAGGAGGATCGGTCAACGTCTTCGCCAGGCCGATCGAAGGGATCAACCTCCTCGTCGACGTTGACACGATGAGGATCACAAGCTACTCCGACAGGTTCAGAGCTCCCCTGCCCAAATCCGAAGGCACCGACTTCCGATCGAAGAAACCTGCCGAAAGCTCCATCATCACGTACAACATCTCCGGTCCCGGGTTCAAAATCGACGGCCACAACGTTCGATGGGCGAATTGGGAATTTCACCTGTCGTTCGATGCGCGAGCCGGCGTCACGATATCGACGGCTTCGGTGCTCGATCCGGCGACCAACAAGTTTCGGCCGGTTCTGTACAGAGGTCACGTATCCGAGACGTTTGTGCCGTACATGGACCCAACTACAGAGTGGTACTATAGGACATTCATGGACATCGGGGAGTTCGGGTTCGGCCGGAGCGCCGACACGCTTCAGCCGGCAATCGATTGCCCTGCCAGTGCTGTGTTTCTTGATGGGTACGTCGCCGGAGGAGACGGGAAGGCGCAGAAAATGGCCAATGTGATCTGCGTTTTCGAGCGGTATAGTGGTGATGTGGGGATGAGACATACCGAGATCAATGTCCCTGGCAGAGTGGTAATAAACCCATTTTGGTCTCTGTAAATTCCGATTCTTAATTTTAATACAAAGCTGATTGTGAAGCATGCTCTTTTTTTTTTTTTTTTTTTTGTTGCAGATCAGAAGTGGGGAGCCGGAGATTAGCCTGGTTGTCAGAATGGTGGCCACAGTTGGAAACTATGATTATATTCTTGACTGGGAGTTCAAGCAAAGCGGCTCGATCAAAGTCGGGGTTAGTTTTCAATTAATCCAAATAAAAGATTGGATCTTTTCATCTATAGAGAAATTCGGGTCTGATTTTGCTTTCTGATTCGTCAAATTTTGTTACAGGTGGACCTGACAGGAATCCTGGAGATGAAGGCGACAGAGCAGATCTATAGCGACGGGAAAACGGGAAACACGTACGGAACTCTAGTGACGGAAAACGCCGTCGCTGTTAATCACGACCATTTCCTAACTTACTATCTGGACCTGGACGTGGACGGTAACAGAAACTCGTTCGTGAAAGCCAAGCTACAAACGGCGAGAGTTCCTCCGTCATCCAACCCGCCGTCTCCGAGAAGAAGTTACTGGACGGTCGTTAAAGAAACGGCGAAAACCGAATCCCAAGGGAGAGTTCGGGTTGGAGCGGAGCCGGCTGAGTTGTTGGTTGTGAACCCGAATAAACGAACCAGGCTTGGAAACCAAATTGGGTATCGGCTGATTACCGGTCAGCCTGTTAGCTCTCTGTTGAGCGATTATGATTACCCGCAGATGCGCGCTGGGTACACGAAGTACCAGGTCTGGGTAACCGCTTATAACAAGTCGGAGCGATGGGCGGGTGGGTTTTACGCGGACCGGAGCAGAGGGGAAGACGGGTTGTCGATTTGGGCCTGGAAGAATCGGGCGATTGAGAACCGGGATATAGTGGTTTGGTACACGGTTGGGTTCCATCACAACCCGTGCCAGGAAGATTTCCCGATCATGTCGACGATTCATGACGGGTTTGAACTCCGACCCGCTAATTTCTTCGAACGAAATCCAATGGTCAACAAAGATTAAGGACTGGTTTAAGTGACTGTAGTATTGATTGCTTGCTCAAATTTGTAACTATCTTTGACTGCAATGAACAGATGCATTGACGTAATGTATTATTTTGTTAATAATTAAATGAATCCTGACCATCACATCAACCGATTAAGATGACCCGAGAAAGTCTAATGCTGCAATTTGACCCATTTCATACGCACCACTACTTTCCAAGTCGTCCATGGCGGGAACCCTGTTTCATTCTGCCATATCTGCCTTCCAGCTCATTTCCAATTGACATGATTTCTTACTCCGATTTCTCCATAAAAAATTCTCCCCAGTCTAATTATCTTGAAACCCAAAAAAAATGGCTTCCGCGGCGAGTTTCGCTTGCCAGCTTCTCCTCCTGTTTCTTTCTCTTTCTGGAGTCCTCTGTTTCGCTCAGCCGGCTACTACGAGGGTGATTAACTTAGGTTCCAGCATAACTGCAGGCACAGGATCCAAATCCACGTGGAATTCGCCTTCCGGCGATTTCGCGTTCGGGTTTCACCGTCTTGCCTCCGGCAAATTCCTCGCCGGAATTTGGTTCGACAAAATCTCTGACACAACTCTGGTCTGGTCCGCAAACCGTGATGATCCAGCCGAAATCGGGGCCACTGTCGCGTTAACACTCAAAGGACAGCTGCTTCTCAAGCATTCCAACGGGACCGAGCTCTTCATTTACAACGGAACCTCCACTGGCTCGGCGGCGATGCAAGACGACGGCAATTTCATCCTCCGAAGCTCCTCTGCTTCCGGCGACGTCGTGTGGCAGAGCTTCGATTTCCCGTCGGATACGATTCTGTTGGGCCAGACCCTGGTCATGGGTCAGAAGCTCTTCTCCAACGCAAACGGAACGGCGGATTACTCCACGGGGAACTACATGCTGGAGCTTCAATCCGACGGTAACGTCGTGATTTCGGCTTACAGGTTCGCCGATCCAGGATACTGGTTCACCTTAACGGCAGGGAAACAGAACGTGACCTGGGTTTTCAATCAAACGACGGCGTTTATGTACGTCAGGGACGACAATTCAACTCTCTACCCAATGACGACCCGAATCCCAGGTCCGATTCAAGATTACTATCATCGGGCGGCGATCAACGACAGGGGAAACATCCAGCAGTTCGTCTACAACAAGCGAAACGGCACCAGATGGACCGTCGTTTGGGAGCCGGACTCAATCGGTTCGGAGCCTTGCCTCCCGTTCTACATCTGTGGAGTGTACGGATTCTGCACTTCGCTGGACAACAGAACCATTGACTGCAAATGCTTGCCGGGCTACTCTCCCTGGGATCCGAATGTGCCTTCCAAAGGCTGCTACCCGAATGTGGCTATCGATTTCTGCGATTCTACGAATCCGAATTCTCGACAATTCGATCTCGTCACCATCGACAATGCCGATTTCCCCAATGGACAGTTCGCCGACATGGCGAGGCTCACTCCGTTGAATGTAGAGCAATGCAGGCAAGCTGTGATGGACGACTGTTATGCCGCGGCAGGGGTTTTGGTCGAATCGATTTGTTACAAGAAGAGAATGCCCCTTTTGAATGGCAGGAGGAGCAATCCGTCCACCAACAACATTGTGGCATTCCTCAAAGTGCCTAGGATCAACGGTACAACTAGTGGGATTGAACCTCGGAAGGGGAATGATCCCCCTTCCAAGCTCTCGTTGCTGCTCGGGATTCTTTCCTGCACTGCAATGACTTTAGCTTTCGCGACGATCGCGGTTTACCATCACCCGTTCATGCGGAGGGATGATAAATCCGCTATTCAGAGGCCGAGGGCAGTAGAGATAAATCTGAAGTCGTTTTCATTTCAGGAGATGCACGAAGCGACGAACGGGTTTCGAAACAGGCTTGGGAAGGGCGCGTTTGGGACGGTCTACAGCGGAATCCTGACATTGGAAGACGAGGAAGCTGAAGTGGCGGTGAAGGTGTTGGAGAATGTGATGGAACGAGGGGAGAAGGAATTTCTAACCGAGGTTCAAGTAATCGCTCTGACCCATCACAAGAATCTCGTCAGGCTTTTGGGATTCTGCAACGAGAACAAGAAGCACCGCGTGCTGGTGTACGAGCTCATGAAGAGAGGAACACTATCGGATCACCTGTTCGGGAACGCGGAAGAAGAGAGCGCGAGGAGGAAGCCAGGGTGGGAACAGAGAGCAGAGATCGCAATGGGAATCGCCAGGGGATTGGTTTACTTACACGAGGAGTGCGAGACGCAGATCATCCACTGCGACATCAAGCCTCAGAACGTGCTCTTGGACGACAATTACACTGCCAAAATCGCGGATTTCGGACTGGCCAAGCTTCTGATGAAGGACCAGACGCGGACCAGCACCATGGCCAGAGGGACCATGGGTTACATGGCTCCCGAGTGGCTCAAAAACGCTCCGGTGACCGTTAAGGTGGATGTCTACAGCTTCGGGGTCGTGCTGTTGGAAATTGTCTTCTGTAGAAGGCACATGGAGCTGCATCGAGTTTTGAGTGATTGTGATGGTGACGAGATGGGAGGAGAAGGCGTGATTCTGACGGATTGGGTGGTGGAGTGTGTGAGGGCTGGGAGATTGCAGGAGATCATCGCCGAGGAGGATTCGGAAGCTTGGAATGATTACAGGAGGTTTGAGAGAACTGTGATGGTTGGGTTGTGGTGCCTGTGTCCTAATCCGAAGGACCGGCCGTCGATGAAGAAGGTTGTGGCGATGTTGGAAGGGTGCGGTGAAGTTGGTCTTCCGGTAGCGTTTGAAGCACACATGGCTTGATTATTTTTAGAATGATGTAATTGTAACCGAATTCAAATCAAATTTTGTCTCGAACTTGAAATAGAATAAAAGATCAAATTGGTGAGATTGATCTCGAGTGTGGCAATATGAAGAGATCTATGTTATCATGTGTATATTATCTTTAACTAGCTTTTTATCCGGTCCGTTGGCCGGTGAGTTTAATTTTATCATTTACATTAATCAATTTATATATATGTTTAAACTATTTTGGATCTTCTAAATTTTTTTACATTTGCATTCATATGTGAGTATGCAGTGCGTCTATAAATTAAAAACTCTCAATACTTAGCACATTCACTTATGATGTTTCGATTCTCTGATCATAAATCATGTCACAAAGATGTATCACGTCCCATATAGAATCTTATGTCAAGATTTGTCAACAACGATACTAAATTTTTTTTATCTTGTACAATATATGTCATTCAATGAATCTCGAGTTTGGACGAACTCTCAACCAATGATGTTGTTCAGATGACGACAAATAGTTAGAATTTTTTATATAAATGTACTTCAATATTAGATAAATTTGGTCATCCCAATTGAAAGTTTACTGTCTTAGTGTAAGATCATATTTGTCGATCAAGACAATCAATTTAATATCTTATACAATATGTACCAATTGTTGGTACCTAAAGTTTAATTTTGACTCACCCTCAACTCATGGTCGTTGTTTAGATGTTGGTTTAGAATATCGGTCCAAGATACTCACACACTATCGAGGGTTCTAATCTTAACATGGTCCATTAGTGTATAATTTTATAACTTATCAAATATGCATTTGCTAAAATTTATTTATCTTTGGTGTTTGTTTTGGGATAAAAATTACATTACTTATACTAATATCTTCATTTTGTTGGTGTAATGCCACATCCCTTGCCAATATCTAAGCATGATATTATACTCTAAGTAAGAAAACGCTATCAGAACTACGAATTAACCAGATTTGTGGGCATGATACTATACCCTAACACTTGATAAGTGAACCCTAGGTCTTAGTTATATAAATCATAGAGCTTAACCCCTAAGATTGTGCATGTAATTTGTTGCATATTTTTTGACGAATCATGACCGTTGATTTTTGTTTATAATTAAACTTATCTTAGTGTATGAGATTTATAAATTTAAGACCTAGATTTTAATCTTTAAGGGTTTGAGAATAATACCATATGCCAAACTCCAGTCAATTCGAGGTCTATACATCATTTTCTTACTTAAGGTATGTCATAATATACATATATAAATATAAAGAGTTTAATATATTTTTAAGTGTAATTAACACATTTGTTTGACCGAAATATGTAAACTGTTAAGAAAAATAAGGGGAAATATGAACAAATGTAAGAGAAAGTAAGGTATGCAAGCATGCATTATAAGAGAGAAGAAAAATTGTCTTTCTTTATCGCCTTCATTTGTACAATCAGGTACTATATTATGGCTTCGTCATGTTTCTATTAAAATGAAGGAAAAAAAACAACTTTTGAAGCATTTTTCTATTTAATACTTGTTTTTGTTGATAGATACAAATATTAGAAAAAGATAGTGTTTGATAACCAAAACATAAAATTATATAGTTGGTTTTTCAAATTCAATTGATTATTAAATGTTGATTATCTAAACTTCACTATATTAAGTTCTAATAAAAATTAATTGATCAGATTTAATCAAATATATTTTTTAAAGAATTACAATATATGTCACTTTTCAGACGTAAGTATACAGCTGCTACACATATATATTGCAAAAATAATTATTGAATAAAAAAAGAAAACATTAAAGAAGATAGAGATAGCTACTTAAATGATCATTAAAAAAATATATTAAAAGAAGATAGATATAGCTACACTAATTGATCATTAACTAACTTTTTTGTTTGAAAAAAAAAGTGTCCACCATGGCACCTTGTAAATTCTCCAAATGCTTATGTGGCAACAAACTACTTTTGAATTGCCATAATATTATGTATAGATAGATAGATAGATAGATACGGTCAGAAGAGGTTCCTCTTTTGTTCAGTTGCTTTACTGGTTGGTTTTGTTCATAATAATAAAAGTGAGTATTGATACTGAGATCTGTTAGACTAGTTTTTTACCCGCCTGTTGGGCGGTGTATTTTGTTTGGTTGTTTTATAATTCGTTATAGTATTCTAATTGTTATTATTATTATTTATGTTTGTTAAGGTAATATAAATAGAATTGTAATCCCACTTACCTTATTTCAGGTATTGTTTCATACTTTTATACCTTTTGTTTATTTATAAACATTTTAATTTTATTAACTGAGCTCTTTGTAGACGGTTCTTTATTGATTTATAATTTTTTTTTATCGAACTCGCCCTTTAAGATTATAAACATAAGAGATAATTCATTCTTTAGCACACAATTGTGATAAAGAAGTTAAAAAACTTACGGCCACAAAAGAAGAAGTTAGAATAAGAAAATATGCTTCAATTAATAAAAAAAAATAACTGAAGAACTTTTTATTTTCTCTCCTTTCTCATATGTCGGTATATGATAATAGAGAATATTCCGATTTAAATCTCATGAATATTGTGTATTATCACTTACACATACAATTTTGGAATAATGAGGAAACTCATTAGCATCCACATCCATCAATCTTCCGCGTACTTGTTTAATTACCTTGAAATATTTTCAGCAAATTAAACTGCATATAATTAAACATAATTTATATTTTGTAGAGAGCTACATATCTTCTGCATAAAAGAAGTGAGTGTTTGATAGCAAAAAAAAATATAGTCATATCGTTCATTTCTCAAAGTCGATTGATTGTCAAACGCTTATTTTCTCTTAGACCATCGTTTATATTTTGTTTAATTGAAAAATATTAATATTTATGTGTGTGCTTGTTTTTTTTTTCATCGTCAAAATGTAACTTATTATTAAGTTTTAGTAAAAATGAGAACAAAATTTACTTAATCAGATTTAATCAGTTTGGGTTAAACAAATACAATATATGTCACTCTCTGTTTCCATCTTTATAGTTTATTTAATTGGGAAAAAAAATATTACTTAGCTGTGTGTTTTTTACTTTTTTGTTAAATGTTTCCTAAAAAAATTACTTATTTTAATTTTAGTAACAATGAGTAGAATTATTAAAAGAAGAGAGAGACAACTTCATAAATAGATCTATAAATAGTTTTTTGTTTATAAAAAAAATTGTCCACCTTGGCAACTTGTGCATTCACCAAGTGCTTATGTGACAAAAAGTTATTTTTGAATAGCCATAATATTTAGTATAGATAGATAGATAGATTTGGAAACGAATACAACATAATTTTTGACGAGGGTTGAACATGTTTGCATATAATGTTGAATGAGCAACTTCTACGAAATTGAATTTAATTTCAGTTTTTTTTTTTTTTTTTTGTATTGTCGAATTAATTCTGTGTTGTAGCCAAATTGCTTTCTGGGTTTAGCTTCTAACATGGGTATTAGGCTGACTATCTACATGTGCTATGTCTGATTTATCAAAGAAATTTCCTCCAAATTGCCTCTCCAATACGTTATACAGCATTAATGAATCGTATAACAACGCGATGCAGAAGCCAGAAAGGTCCAAGGATGTAAACCTTCAATGTGAAGTGGGACCAAATGGGTTCATGGAGTTGAATTGGTAGCTCTAATATCACTATCCTCCACTTTGGCACATTGCCGTAAGACTTGTCCGAAATTGGAAGATATTCCATACCAATTTTGTATGCTTGCCAGCAAAGCCTGCATTTTGAGGGGAGTTGCATTAACACCCAAAAATCACAATCACTACTGACCCAGGTCCTAGGCTGGACCAAGTCTCGAGTCTTGGCCGTGGCCATGAAAACTGGGTAATTGTCTTTGTCTAGTAAGTAGTAACCAAAACAATTCTTTTAGTCAGGCCTGATGGCATGGAATCCACTTTATGGATGGGGAGGGCACCTAGAAATAGCAGCAGTCGCAGTCGGTTGCACATAACTGCACAAATACATGACTTCAAGTGATGGCTACTATTAAGAATCAAACCATTTTTGGTTAATAAGAAACTTTAGGAGCACTCTGAAAGTGTAACTAGAATAGTTGACATGTTTGTATGGACGTAATAAATGAGAAGAAGAGAACAATCTTTTTCTGGTAACACAAAAGTCACCAATGATGTATCCTTAACACTAACGAACAATTAGACGTTTTTGGGATATTATCCATTACATCATACATTAACCATTAGCGAAGGCCCGGATCACACAGGTCAATATGGTGTGTGTCATAGACTCGTAGTGCAGAGTATGTCCTTTGACGGTTGATGTGGTGAGACGAGAGAGAGAGATTGTGGTCAGAAGATACAAGGAAGAATTCTAGAGGTGAGTACTTTTGAGTTTTGTTTAACGTTTTTAATTTAGTTCACCACATTTGTTAAGTGCTATTCGGAGCATATTCGATTCAGGAACTCAACGATTCAAACTGTACAAAGATTAAGAATTAATTGAAAAAGAACTTATATGCATGACTTCAAGTGTTGGGTGTCAAAAACAAGTTGATGTAAATAATCTGAGTTGTTGAGAAAGATTTAATAATGGATTTTCAAACTACTCTATTTAGCTTTGGATTTTGGAAAAGCTTTAATGATTCTTCCCTCTTTACTAAAACATCATCGACTGGACTAGTGATTCTTGCTTTATGTGGATGATATGGTAATTACAAGAACTGATCTAGAAGGAATACGACGACTCAAGGAAGGTCTTCGATCATCTTTTAGCATTGAAGATCTAGGAAGTTATCATACTTCTTGGGCATAAAGGATTCTCATAATTCGAAAAGGATTTTACTCAGTCGACATAAGTATATCTCTAATCTTCTATGCGATCATAATTGTGATATGAAGCTGTGTTGTGATTCTGGAGAGGGATGTTTCACATTATCGGAGCATAGTTGGAAGCTTAATCTATCGATCAGCCATCATACCTGACATTTTATATGCAATAAGATGGTTAGCCAGTTTATAACGAACCCTTGTGTTGATCGTCTAACTGCTGCACATCGTATTTTGCGGAATTTGTAGGGAACTCGAAACGTCAGCCACGTTTTCCCCCTTCCACTGGCTCGGATACTCTGCGTGCATATTTGTATTATTACTATGTCGATTGTATAGATACACCCCAATCCACTACAGGTTGGTGCATTCAGTTTGGAGAAGCTTATATATCTTGGGTGTAAGAAACAAGATAAAGTATCCAAGTCATGCATAGAGGCTGAATAAAAGGTAATGTATGACGTCATTTCTGAACTAGTATGACTACGTCACATACTGATTGTGTTGATGTGACTTGAATCGGACTAGCAGCCACTACGACTGGAAGTCACGGGATCTCTTAGACCTAGGAGAAGTACTATAAATACTTCTCATACTTCTATGTAATCTGTATCTCCTCAAAGTATAGTAAAATTGGCTCTCTCCTGCTTGTGGACTAGCTAACACACATTGTGTTAGTGAACCACGTAAATCTGTGTTGTGAGTGTGTGATTTCATTTTCTTGCATTGTCGAATCCTCCAATTTCCCGATCTAAAGAGAAACAGTCGTGACAGATTGGTTTGGGAATCACTTGTTTGATGCTTATGAATTTCTATGTAGACAACATTCGTGCGATTTATATACTGGGTAATCTAGTGTTGTATGATTGTACTAAGCATATCAATATACATGCTTATTATGCTCGAGATATGGTTTATGATGATGGTTAATCTACATTATATGCAGATAGAAGATCAGGTTGCATATATGCTCATAAATGCTTTTTCCATAAGTCGTCATTGTATTTAGATAGCAAATTGTGTTGAGAGATCAACATCAATTTGGGGAGGCCATTAGTTAGCATGAATTTTGTTTATTCTTGTGTAGTGTCATTAGACATGAGCCCATTCATATTAGGTGGATTAAGCCAACAGTTAGGAGTTAATGGCCATGTAGCCCATGCATAAATTAACGACGGTCATAGACAGCAAACCTAGGGCTCGCCATGTATATGTGTGTGCATGTGCAACAACGGTAAGGTGAACAAAGAACATAATAAAATAAGTAGCATGGAGAATTTTCAACTCTTTCGCAGATTAATCATGGAATTCAGAGGATACCACGTAAAATTAGTTTGTCCTGATTTATGTTTGTTCACTTTAGATTGATCGAGTTAGTATGTGGTATAAGATTAATTATTGAACCTCTCCTGACAACAAGAGTTAGTGGGATCGACTGGTTATTGACATGGCATGAGAGTTTTTTGTGATCAAGAGGCATTTTGAGAGGAAACCCAAAGGTACATCTGTGTAGGTTTAGTCCAAAACGAACAATATCATTAGTGGAGCACCATGTCCAATAAGTGGTATCAGAGCCGTTTGTGATCGAGAGATCTTTTGTTCAAATCTCAGCGATTCCATTTTCGAACTGTACAAACTCCAAGCCAATATGACTATGAGGGGACATAAGTTTGAAGAGACGTATTAATATGTGATATAAGAATTATTGTTGTACCTCTCTCAACATTTCGAGTTATAGAGATCAACTGGTTCTTGAAAAAATTAATCACACTACTACCAAACTAAAACACTACCATCCATAACCCACTACTTGAACCAAATGAGATTGCATAACCATCTTGAAAAAAGGTTTAACCAATACTACAAATGATTAGGGATGACAATGATGCGTGTTTCCCAAAACCATCCTCATTCCCATTTCCAAATACTCAAACTTATATCCACCACCTACGCATACGGGAAAGATTTTACATCCTCATCCGCATACCCACAATTTTTGGGTAACCATGAGTAATATCCGCCCTCGTACATTCAATATTACTATATATGAAATTCAATTTTAATTTTTCCCCATTCATTCAATGAAACTTTTTCTCATGCAATGTCTAGTTTTTCCCAAGGATTGAAATACCGTACCAGAGGTCGTACAGGAAAAGTCAGCGGTAGGGTATTTTATGCTAAAACCATGGTTTAACCATGATTCAACCGTATTATACCGCTAAATACCGCCTACTGGTTTTGCTTCCGGTAGAAGGTTTTTCAGGTTTTTCCTTGTCAAATTAATAACGAGCTAATTGTTATTGAAAATTGAAAACTACATTTAATCCTTTTATATTTTTTTCCATGCATTCAATGAACTTCCATGCAATGTTTAATTTGACTTTTTTCCATGCATTTAGGGGTCGTTTGGAAGTTCGATTGTTTTGTTGAGATTGTCATTATGCATCTATTGTTTATAATGCATCGTTTTTTTTGTTTTTTTAGCAGAAACAATACATGGATTGTTTCTGTGATGTGATAGAAACTATCACTCATTTTGAGTGATTGTTGTATCTCAACTTTTAGTTATTGTTGAGATACTTGAGTTGAGATTGTTTTGTCTCAGCTTTTAGCTGATGCGACATACACAATCACACATACCAAACGTTGTATTCTACAATACATCAAATTCAACAATACATGTATAATATTATACATGCATTCTCAACAATACATCTATTTAACAATCGCAACTTCCAAACCAACCTAATAACGGGACTGTTTTTCTTGAAACCTACATTTAATTCATTGTGTTATTTTACTTATGCATTCAATGATTTTTTTCCATGCAATGTCTAATCTGCCATTTGTCAAATGTCCACTGTTATGGGCTGTGCCTCCGCAGTCACTTCTTTGTCCTCTTTAATTTTTTTTTCTTTATTTATTTCCTGTTGGTTTATCAATTTTTAGCAAGAGACAATTTCCACTATGAGCTTGTGGCATAACAAAAAAAGTTCTTGTATTTTTATTAAAATTTATGCTTTAGTCATTTTAGAATTTACCTTTTAATTGTTGATTAAAATGGTAATATATTTTAATAAATTAGTGATTTAGTTTATCCATAAAATATTATAAGAGTATATATATTTTTTAATTATGTGATATAATTCAAAATACTAAAATGATGTAATATAGATAAAATGTTTAGCTGTTTTGAAACGATGAGTTAGATCCACCATATAAGAAAGAATTTGATTTCATGGACATAAAAAAAAAATGAAATTAGTAGTTGATGTCGTAGTAGGAAAAATAGAAATTGTATTTGGTTAACTTAGTTTTCTGCCGGAAATAAAAGGACCAGATGACCTCCATTAATCGAAATTGACGTGGCTTCCAAACAGCCGCCAGCTTGGAAAATTCAACCTCCAGTTTTCACTGTTCCTCTTCCACCTTTCACAATCCCTTTGACTTCTTGTTAGTTCTTCAACCCGTCCTCTCCATAAAGCCAGAGCTGATAGCCCTGCGTCTCCCCCGCTTTTGCCATTTTCAGAAAGATTCCAATTTGCATCCAATGACTCCAAAATTACTGTTCTTCCCTCTCCTTCTACTACTCTGTCTCCAATTCTCCTCTTCCACCGCCCAAATCCGACCAAACATCAGCTTAGGCTCCGGCATCACCGCCGGCACCAACGACACGTGGCGCTCCCTCAACGGCGACTTCGCCTTCGGCTTCTTCCCGCTCCCCACCAACTCATCCCTCTACCTCCTGGCCATCTGGTTCGACCGAATCCCATCCCCAACCCTAACCTGGTCGGCCAACCGCGACTCCCCTGCCCCAGCCGGTTCAACCATCCGTCTCTCCTTCGCCGGCCAGCTCTTCCTCACCTACACCAACGGCACCATCCTCTCGATCTACGCCGGAGAAGCCGCGGCCTTGGGGTTCATGCAGGACAACGGCAACTTCGTCCTCAGAGACGGCAGTTCCAGGGTGCTGTGGCAGAGCTTCGACTACCCGACCGATACGATCCTGCCCACCCAAACCCTGACCGGCGGGAAGAAGCTGTATTCTAATAAACGAGCAGGGAATTCGGCCGATTACTCGACTGGAAGGTTTATGCTGGAGATGCAATTCGATGGGAATTTGGTGCTTTCGGCTTACCATTTTTCCGATCCTGGGTATTGGTACACTGGGACTCTGTTCAGCAATGTCAGCTTGGTGTTCAATCAGAGTGCCTTCTTGCAACTCGTTAATGGCAGTAACCACAACATCTATTCTTTGACCAGAAATCTCTCAGCTGATCATGTGTAAGAACTTCGTCGCCTGTCTCTTTTTTTTTTCTTTCGCACCATAGTCAAATTTTGTGTCTAGTTGTGAAAGAACTCAAACAACACACGAGATTTACGTGGTATCCTCGTTCGTGAGAACGAGACTAATCCACGGAAGACTCACCAAGGAGTCTTCAGCTATACTTTTATTAGGGTTTTTACTTCTCCCTGTTACACGACAGCCGATAGGCTCACTTCCATATATATAGGTTTACATAATTCCTTTTCAACACTCAACAAGGAATGCAAACTACTAAAAGGTCCTTACATAAATGTAAATGGACATATAGGTACAGTTGGTCTAGTACGTACGCCCCCTGTCCTGTACGTACCCTCGCAACACGCCCCCTCAAGCTGAGGCGTGAATGTCATGAAGGCCCAGCTTGGAGGTGAGAAACGCGAATTGCTCCGCGCCTAACCCTTTGGTAAACATATCAGCAACCTGTTGTTGAGAAGCAACTTTCTGTGGGGCGATCTCACCTGACATGACTCGTTCACGAACGAAATAACAGTCCATCTCAACGTGCTTCGTTCGTTCGTGAAAAACTGGATTGGCAGCAATGTGTAACGCTGCCTGATTGTCACAAAACAATGGAGTAGACAAAGTACTAGGCACATCCAACTCACTAAGGAGCCAACGAAGCCAGATAAATTCACTTACTGTACTGGCCATGGCACGATACTCTGCTTCAGCTGAGGACCGAGCTACAACTGACTGTTTCTTGGTTCGCCAAGAGATAGGGCTCTGACCCAGCTGAATGAAGTAACCAGTGGTGGAACGACGAGTGCGCTGACAACCGCCCCAGTCAGCATCACAGTGTGCTGTCAGACTAAGCTGTCCGTGAGTGGGAAAGCGGAGGCCACGGCCTGGGGCACCTTTGAGATAGCGAAGTACACGATAGGCAGCATCTTCATGTTCCTGACGGGGAGAGTGAACAGCTTGACTTAAAATATTAACAGCATAAACAATATCGGGTCGAGTTACCGTCAGATACTGCAGACGTCCGACAAGACGCCGAAAACCAGACGGATCCTTGGCAGCAGGGCCTTCGATCCGCGTGAGATGATGGTTTTGCTCGATGGGGAATGCACATGGCCTCGCAGCAAGAGCTCCAGCATCCTTTAAGATGTCCAGGGCGTATTTCCTCTGCGACAATACTAAACCATTCCGTGAACGAGCTACCTCAATCCCCAGAAAATACTTTAGGACTCCCAAGTCCTTGATACTGAACTGATCATGAAGAAAAGACTTGACACGCTGAATAGTGTCCAAGTCGTCACCACCAAGGATAAGATCATCAACATAAATCAACGCAAACACGAACACCCCACCACGTCGATAAAGGAATAGAGAATGATCAGCCTTGGACTGTTGAAAACCGAACTGTTGAAGCGACATGGTGAACTTCATATACCAGTTTCTTGAAGCCTGCTTCAAGCCGTATAGAGATTTGCGAAGACGACAAACCCGAGTGTCCCCCGGTCGAGCAAATCCCTGCGGCAACTGCATATACACCTCCTCATGCAAATCACCATGAAGGAAGGCATTATTGACATCCAATTGATGGAGATGCCAATTCCGGTGAGCAGCAACAGCGAGAACACAGCGGACTGTGACTAGTTTGGCAACGGGAGCGAAAGTGTCGTGATAATCAACACCTTCGACCTGAGTAAATCCCTTTGCCACGAGGCGCGCCTTATACCGCTCCACGCTACCATCAGGACGAAACTTGATTTTGTAGACCCATCGTGAAGCAATGGCCTTTTTGTTGGGAGGCAATTCTTCCAAAACCCATGTACCATTAGCCTCCAATGCATCAATCTCACGCTGCATAGCCTCTCGCCATTTGGCGTGGCGAACAGCATCATGGAAGAATTGGGGCTCAACCAGGGTGTCCACCGCTGACACAAAAACACGATGGTTAGCGGACAAACGAGTAAATGTAACATATGCTGACAAAGGATATTTGGCAGCAGAAACAGTGTGAGAGGAGGGTAAATAAGTGTCATAACCTCGCAAACGAACAGAAGGCTGGCGAGCACGCAAGCCACGACGAGGTGCAGGCGCAGCGGAAGGAGCGTCCTCTGTAGGAGGAGAGGCAGGCGTTGCGGGCTCCGCGGGTTGGACTGAAGGAGGGGTACTAGGCAACCTGGGAGCTGGCGAAGTAGGAGCTGGGGAAGGACAGTCCGTGGCGGGAGGAGCGACATCCACCATGGCGGACAGGTCAGGGGACGGTGCAGCAGCAGGGGAGTCGATGACGGGAACTGCATCGGTGTCATCATCCAAGGCCGAAACAGGGGGGTCACCACTGACCATGGGGTAAACACATGGTTGGATGTCGCTAGCTAAGGAACGAAAAGGGAAAACCTTCTCGTCGAAAACCACGTCACGGGAGACAAGAAGATTTTGAGAAGCCAACTCGAGCAAACGATATCCCTTTTGGGAATCTGGGTAACCAAGAAATACACATGGCCTACCGCGTTCACCAAATTTGTCCAAGTGTGAACGAGTGTCTTTGGAATAAACCAAGCAACCAAAAGAGCGCAAATGAGTATAGGAAGGGCGACGACCAAATAGACGTTCATAGGGCGTTTGATTACCAAGAGCCCGATGTGGTAATCGATTTATCAAGTAACCGGCAGTGAGAACACATTCCCCCCAAAAACGTTTGGGCAAATTAGCATGGAAATGCAATGCCCGAGCAGTATCCAAAATGTGACGATGCTTGCGCTCAACAACTCCATTCTGCTGAGGAGTATCAGTACAGGAAGTCTGAAGGTGAATTCCTTCAGTAGCATAGAAGTCAAGTAATTCATGAGACCGAAACTCAGTCCCATTATCTGTCTGGATGACCTGAACTGCGGCCTTGAACTGGCGAGCAACCTGCCGAACGAAAAACTGCAAATACTTGGCTGCCTCAGACTTGAATTTAAGTAAATAAATCCACACACCACGAGTGAAATCATCAACCACTGTAAGAAAATACTGAGCTCCACTCAACGACGGAACTTTGTAACCGCCCCAAATGTCAATATGAATAATGTCAAACGGTTTAGAGCTGCGTATCGAACTGGAAGGGAAAGCTAGCCGAGGTTGCTTTGCTCTTAAACATGATGAGCAAAGCTGGTTATTCATCCTACGAGTGCTAGGAATTAAATGCAATAAATCGAGTTTTTCCGGGGAAGGGTGTCCCAAACGAGAGTGCCACAAATCAGCATCTACAGTATTATGGGCTGCAAACGCCATCTCCTGTCGCACTCCATCAAATAACCGGAGATAGTAGAGACCATCACTCTGCGTCCCCGTCCCAATAATCGTCTTCGAGCGTAAGTCCTGTATAACACAGAAGTCGCTCAAGAAGATCAACGCCAACGAAAAATCCCGAGTAAGCTGACTAACAGAGAGAAGATTGCATTTAAATTCCGGGACTAAAAGCACTCGCGGCAACATCATGCCATTAGATAACCGAACTGAGCCAACTGCCCGAACATTAACAACTGAGCCATCGGGTACTCGAACCTGCAAATCCGATTCCGTCTGATACCCACTAACCAACTTGCAGTCATTCACTATGTGTTCATTGCATCTAGTGTCTATTAACCATTCATCTGTACCCCCGAAAAAAGGCAGAGAATTACCTGTCATCTTGTCGGGTTGCGCAGTCTTCAATTCGCCCCCAAAAAGAGTTTTCAATTGCTCAAACTGGTTGGCGTTCAGGCCAGGAATAGGGCTCTCACGGACTTCAACCTGGGCTGCCCGCGGACCAGATTTGGAACGCTCATTCCCTCTTCGACGGCGGTCCTTCTCTCGATCCCCTTTACGCTCACTAGCACGATCGCTAGTACGATCCGGCCAGCCAATCAACTCGTAGCAGCGATCTTTAGTGTGCCCTGTCTTGCCACAATGGTCACAGACGTACCGAGGCTTGGAAGACTCATCAGCCCGTCCAGAAGACCCTTTCGCGCCAGCGCGCCCTTCCCGAACATGAAACGCAGCTGCCTCAACAGTTGGGCGCCGCGAGCTTGCAAGTTTGCGTTGTTGTTCATCGTTGTTAACCAGATGATACGCATCAGCGAGGCTAGGCGGGGGTCTCATTGCTAAAACTTGGGTTTTAACAGTAGCAAACGCCTCGTCAAGACCCATCAGGAAGTCAAACAGTTGTTCGCTGTCTTTGGCCTCACGATACCGGCGTTTGACGTCACAAACGCAGCCATTACAAGTGCACTCTGGAGCAGGCGCAATGGACTGAAATTCGTCCCAGTAACCGCGAAGCTTCGTGTAGAAGCTAGACACGCTCGACTTTTCTTGTTGGAGTAGCGCGATCATGCGACGCAGCTCATACATCCTAGGCGCGCTTCCCCGACCAAATCGTTGTTCCACGTCCAGCCATATTTCCCGTGCGGTGCGAGCGAAGCGGACGCTGGCACGTATTTCCTTGCTCATGGCTGTTTTCAGCCAACCCTTCACCATCGCATCGCATCTTTTCCACTGTTCCAGGAGGATCCCGTCGGTAGGCTTAGGAATCGAGCCATCGACGAAACCCATCTTGTTCTTGGCAATGAAAGAATATGTGATATCACCGAGCCATTCTCCATAGTTGCTATCGGTGAGAACTTCCCCAACGAACAACTGGTTGGGACTATCAGAATTAGGAAGAGCAAAAGCCGGAGGAAAACCATCTCCGCTGCCACTAGCGGCACTCTTCATTGGCGACTCCGTCTCCGGAGACTTCATCTTTTCATTGTCGGAAGCCATGATCTATTCACAGCTCTGATACCATGAAAGAACTCAAACAACACACGAGATTTACGTGGTATCCTCGTTCGTGAGAACGAGACTAATCCACGGAAGACTCACCAAGGAGTCTTCAGCTATACTTTTATTAGGGTTTTTACTTCTCCCTGTTACACGACAGCCGATAGGCTCACGTCCATATATATAGGTTTACATAATTCCTTTTCAACACTCAACAAGGAATGCAAACTACTAAAAGGTCCTTACATAAATGTAAATGGACATATAGGTACAGTTGGTCTAGTACGTACACCCCCTGTCCTGTACGTACCCTCGCAACAAGTTGGATACCATAACAAATTAGGACTTTGCTACCATGCTCATGTACTTTCTGAAACTAATTTTGCCATTTCCATCATGTACGAAATTGTTTGGTTGCTATTTACGATTTACAAACTCTTACTGCAGTGATTACTACCATCGAGCCACGATCGACGATCAAGGCAACCTCCAGCAATACATTCACCCGAAGACGATGGATACTACGACCGGTTGGGTAAGCATTTGGAAGGCGATCGACGAGCCTTGCACAGTCAATGCCATATGTGGAGTCTACGGAATGTGCAATTCTCCCGACAATCGAACGGCCTCCTGCGAATGCATCCCGGGTTACATCCCATTGAACCCCGACGACTTGTCTGAAGGCTGTCGCCCCGAGAGGGTGCTCAATTACTGCGCGGATGATCATGTCGTAAATGGGTCCAATACGATGACGAATTTCACGGTCGTGGTGATCGACAACGCGGATTTCCCATTCGAGAGCTTCGCGGATTTGGCTCGAGTGAGAAATGTGGACGAGGAAGGTTGTCGGAGGGCACTGATGGAGGATTGCTACAGCCAGGCAGCGGCATTGGTGGACTCCAGGTGCATTAAGAAGAGGATGCCCCTGTTGAACGCGAGGAGGAATACTTCTTCTACTAGAGGAATTAAGGCGCTGGTGAAAGTGCCGGTGAAGGTGGACGATCGTGAAATTGGGACAACGGGGAAGAGGGAGAAGAAGAGAGTTGATGTTCGGAAGTTGCTTTTGGCTGGTTTGATTGTTAGTGCTGCATTTGCTCTGTTTGCTCTGTTTTGGGCTCTGTATTATCATCCTATGGTGAGAAAGATTGTGAAGAAGAGGAAGCGTTCGAGCGGGAACGCGATTGGGATCACTTTCAGGCAGTTTGCGTATCAAGAGCTCGAGGAGGCGACCAGAGGGTTTAGCAAGTTGATTGGGAGAGGGTCGTCTGCCAGTGTTTACAGTGGGATCTTGACATTGAAAGATTTGCAGGTGAGTCCTTTTTTTCTCTCTTCCTCTTTTAGTTAATGTTTACGAAACATTGTGAATCAAAATTTTGTTTTGCAGATTGACATCGCAGTGAAGAAGTTAGAGGCAGAAATAGAAAAGAGTGATAAGGAGTTCACTACCGAGCTCAAGGTGATAGGTCGGACGCACCATAAGAACTTGGTCAGATTGTTAGGATTTTGCATTGAGAATGATCAGCGGTTGCTGGTTTATGAACTACTGGAAAACGGGACACTATCCGAACATCTATTCGATGCGAAAGAAAAGCCGTGTTGGAGCTTGAGAGCCGAAATGGGGCTCGGAATCGCTCAAGGGTTATTGTACCTCCACGATGAATGTGCTCAACAGATCATTCATTGCGACATCAAGCCCCAGAATGTGCTCCTCGATGACAATTATTCGGTCAAAATCGCCGATTTTGGGCTGTCCAAACTCTTGAACAAGGAGCAAACGAGAACAAACACGCATGCCAGAGGGACTGTAGGTTACATTGCGCCGGAGTGGCTGCGAAACGCACCCATTACATCCAAGGTTGACATCTATAGCTTTGGCGTGTTATTGCTGGAGATCATATGTTGCAGGAGGCACATTGAGCAACACAGGGTTGAGGAAGAGAGCGAGGAGGAGGATTTGCTTCTTTCGGATTGGGTTTTGGGTTGTGTGATCGATGGGAAGTTGGGGGCCTTGGTGGATAATGATCCTGAAGTTGTGAGTGACATCCAAAGGTTTGAGAGATTTGCATTGGTGGGACTATGGTGTACTCACCCTGACCCGTTTTTCAGGCCTTTTATGAGGAATGTTGTGCAGATGTTGGAAGGGACGGTAGATGTTTGTGTCCCGCCTCAACTTTATGATAGATTATCTACCTATCAAAATCCGTAGTATTGTGATTTGGTGTGCACACATTGTTGCTCTTGATATCATATCTAATGAACAAAATCTTGCAAGTGACTGATTGTATGAGGTACTAAACTACGAGTTAAGTAAGATGATCTCGATGATTATGATTTACTGTAAGAACTACTAAATTTTATTATTAGCCAGTTTAATATTGAAATTTACAAACTAATATAATTACTACACAATTAGTTATCATTATTAGGATATACAAAGGGTGAGTACTGAGTAGTACATTAGGGATTTAGTACGGATAGGTATACCGTAGGTTTCTCTGCACCACTCAAGACTCGTAGTTTATCTCATTGTTATCATCATGATTTTCCAGCTAACACAAGATGACTTTTATCTAATCCCGAATTTTCTCTTATCTAATGACTGGCGATTGATGACCTTAGTCTCCCAAATGGTTTACCTACCGGATACGGGCAGCCGGGCAGGTGCATCGTAGGCTTCTCTACACCACTACTACCCCACAATTGATCTCTTTGAAGCTCAAATCAAGCAAAGAAGTGCATATTGAAGAGGAGAATAAGATTCAAACAACTATGTTCATCTTTACCTCTTTGTTTAAGCTCTATTTCCTTATGTGCTAAGTTTATCTCTTCACCTAAGTTTGAGGAACCCTTACTTGATGTAGTTAAATGATTGACTGATTGTGAACCTAGACTTGACATACGTCTATTTCTATATCCAATCTATATTCTATTGAGTTATTCCTGATCTTTGACTAAGTTTGGGTGAATTGTGTTTTGAACTAGGAGAGAGAAATCATTGGGTTGATTGAACACACGTAATTTGGAAGGTGTTGATAACTTGCATGAAAATGTGTAATTTGATTCCTATGAATTGGATGGAAGCTCTCTTGTGGGAATCTAGGTCTTAACATCTTGTTTGGTTAGTTGAGTTGAAGAGAAGTCTCTCTTGACTGATAATCCAAGATCAGTGAAGGATTCCTTGTATTATAGGAGTGAAGTTTAAAAATCTAGGATCACATCAATTGCCATTTGATTCAAAGCTAGGGAGAATCAATACCCAAGTGAACCTTCTCACCTTTGAGTCCAACCTATTGCATTAATTTACTTTAGTTAATCATTGCTAGTTTAAGTAGAAGTAGTAGTTTGTAGAAGTAATTAACCAGTAAATCGAACTTGCTAGATAATAATATGATATTGAGTACTTATAAAACTAGGTACCCGAGGAACACGATAACTATATAATTTGAAGCCATTATACTACAATCTATCATTGGTTAACTTGCCTTCGTTAGCAGTGTTTGTTTGTAGCAAATCAAGTTTTTTACGTCGTTGTCGAGGAGTTTCTAGGTTATTAGGAAAGGAAAAGGTTTATTACTTCAACTTTTCTTTCTTTTGTTATATTTTCCCATCTTTTTTTTCGTTGTTGTTGTTTGTCCGTGTGTGGCAGGTGCTTTTGCATGACCCAAAGCCAATAAAGAGAACTTGTACCTTTTGATGATAATATCAACTAGATCTTACGGAATATGAGGGGAGAAAGTGTCTTGCACAAACTTTTGAGCAACTAGAAGGCAAACACTCTTCTCTTGTTGAGGTGAAAATAGAGGACAACATCATGGCTGACCAACCTCAACTTCCAACTCCGTTGAACGGACTATGGGGTATTATCTCAACGCCAATGTCGATGAGATGCATTCCAACATCTTGCATCCCCCATCGACAATACCAACTTTGAGATCAAAATGAGTGTAAGAACCAAGATCAGGTGTCAAAGTCTTCGACTAAGGCAGAGTATCAATCGATCACTAAAGTAATTTGCGAATTTTTTGGCTTCAGTTTTATTTGAGGATATTGGTCTTACTATTACACTCCCTATGCACCTCAATGGTGACAATACTAGTTCCATCAAGACTGCTAATAATTATGTTTTGCTAATTTTGAAGAAAATAAGTGAAACTGATCCAAAGATTTGATCTTATTTTGTTAATTTGATTCAATTTGGTCTAAATTCAATCGATTCTACATGGACATTAAAATCGTTAAAATCCTATGAAAATTCCAAAATTTTAAGGATTTAGTGAAATCATGATCGAAACATGTAATTATGTAAGTAATATCTTAAAATTTTAGAATTCAAACCAGAATTTTAACTACCTTGCTTATCTGGCAAATTGATGGTTCGAATTGCCAATCAATTTGGAGAGGTTGTTAATGTAGATATGTACTACTTTGTGTATAATATGTAATACGAACCATGTGTGTGTGAGTATAAGTACACACATGACGAGCAGAATATGTTATGAAAATCTACTCAACTTGACGAGCAAGAGCTTGGCCTAGTGGTAATACCACTGGCCTAAAACATGAAGGTCACAGTTTCGAATCCCTTAAATAGTACCTTAATCACAAACAAACAAAAAATGAAACCTAAATCATCATTATATAAAAAAAATCTAGTCAGTAACAATTGTGGAAATTTATATATTTATGTAGTAATAAGTTCAGGTATGATGACCGGCAAAGACGAAGAAAGCATTGATCATAGTGGGAGACCCCCCGACCAAGAATGGTGTTCCCCTATTTCTGCCCTCTGTTTCCAAGTCCACTCCTAATTTTCTGCCCTCTATTTCCTTACTCTTCATTTTCCCGCCAAAAAGATTGTCCTCTCGTTTGTCAGTGAAACCCTTCCCAGTAGCAATGGCTTCCAGACAAAATTTGGCCGGGCAGTTTCTCCTCCCACTTCTTGCTGATTCTGCAGTCCTCTGTTTCGCTCAGTCGGTTAGGCCAGCGACATTCCCGTCCATTTGTGGATGAAGCTTAGCCCCAAAGTCTTCTAAGAGTGAAGCTTGGAACTCAACATAACACCCAAACTATGATACCATTGATGTGATCATGTATCTTATTCATTACAAAGAGCGGCTATTTTACTTTTATCAAATTAATTCTACATAGCAAAAATGAACCTTTATACTTTCTTATTAATCAACGTATTAAACCAAAGTTACATTAATTCAAATATAAACACCAAAAGGAAGAGGCCGACGACGATATTATATTTCTGTTTTTGATAGCTTGGTACCAAAATATATTTCCCCATCATGATATTCCAACTATATTGAATAATATTAATAACAGTAATAGTAATATGAATAAAACTAATTATGGCGATGAACTTTAATACTGACCATATGGCAGACAAAAACAGTGATACTGAACGTGGTGGCGGCTGCACCGCAACAATTATCTTTACATTCGGCTCTAGTTTCCTTAGAGCAGAAATAACACTGAAGCTTATCGGCGAGAGACCTTTGATCTCTACCCTTTCCAATTGCTTCAAACCGGCTAGCTCATCCGCAACAAGTCTTTTCAAAGATGAGCAATCATACAGATTTTAAACTAACAAGGCCCTCAATCTCCTGCAGATTTGGTGCATACGTGACAGATAACGTTTTCAATTTCTTCAAAGACGACATGTTGGGCAGTCTTCGCAATGCATCACAGTCTTTCAGCGTTAAGGATGTCAAAGTATAGAGATTACCAAGACCATCGAGATTGCATACAACTTTCACATCACTTATACCCAGAGTTTCCAAAGATTTCAACCCTCCAAGACCAGGGATCTCTTTAAGCAAGGGACAGTCTGAGATGTTGATAAGCCGTTAATTGCACATGTTTTTACCCCTATTCTGGAGCCGTTTGAGATGGTAATTCTCGTGTTTTAGGCCGATTTCACGCTAGGTTGTGTTTGTTTGTGATATTTCAAGTCCTAGCAAGTGAATGAAGGTTTTGGAGCGAGTTCGGGGTCGATTGGACGAAGATCGGGCGTGAGACAAGTCAAAAAGGAAGCCACACGGGCACACCCACAACTCACACGGCCGTGCAAGTGACCTATTTGGCCGTGTGGGATTGTGCGAGCCTTCACACGGCTTGCCCTGAAATCCACACGGCCGTGTGAAGTTTTTGTTTGGCCGTGTGGAATTCTGCGAGGCTTCACACAGCCAGGCAGGGTGAGCCACACGGCCGTGCGACCCTGGCCGTGTAGGAAGCCTGAAGTGCAATTAATCGGAACGCGGCGTTTTGACCTCACACGGGCAACTGGGTATGTCACACGGCCGTGTGGCCCTGCCCGTGTGAGTCGGGAATTCCTGGTTTTAAACCAATTTCGGGCTGCAAGTGAGAAGATCGGATTTTCAGAGCAAAAACAGAGCCCTAGAGAGAGAAAGTACGAAGAACACATCCTAGAAGCCATCTTGGAGCTGGGTTTCATCAAATCGAGCTTGGAGATCGTCATAGGAGTGGAAATCATCATCCCAGAGCATATTCTTCTCATAGTTATGAGTATGACTGCTTTGTACTCTGTTTTCCTCTCTCTCTCGATGGAGTAGAACCCTTCTCTCACTTGGGTATGAAGAACCCTAGTTCTGTGTGTTAGGGATTTGATTGTAATGACTTGGGATGATATTACTGCTTGGTTTTAATCGAATGATGCATGTTTATTGAGTCAATTGAAGTCTGATTAGCTTTTCCTAATTTCTGCTGCAACCTGAGATAGATAGAATCTGATTAGGTTGTTAGAGCCTCATCATTCGGTAGTAGGAGATTGGCTATACGAGAGTTAGCCAGTTTACTGCTTTGTACTGGAATTCAATTCCAGTAGTGGAGTTCTGTGCTTATTGCTTCAGCTTTCTATCCCGGTGAAGACTAGTCGTCTGCTGGGTAGTTAGACTGAGAGGGCTTGGTCAGCTTAAGAGATTCCAAGCTACTGTCGGATCTTCCGCAGTCTAATCAACAGTAAATCAACCCAGGAAAATTACAATTGAAACCTAACTAAGAAGCTAGGGGGACTCATTCCCGAGTGACTCTTCTTTGCTTGAGAAAACCGTACCAATTCCTGCTTTCTTTCTGCTTTTGCTTTAAACAACAATCACTTATCTTAGTTGGCTAGATAATAGATAATCACTGAGTAAGCAGTAGATCTAGACCCCGGGTTGATAATAGAACTTGCCACTT